TTTTAACTTAATTATAAAACGATGTTATGTTTGAATATGTTAATTTTTGTGGCTTGTGCATGTATGTCGACGATGATAGATTTGTTAAGTTGGCCGATCCCCTTCGTAGCAACAGATTTATCGGCGCGACGGCGCTCGCAGCCAACAATCTTGGCGGCTGGCAGGCCGTTCTGCCGTCCAGGGCCACGTGATTTGTGAGAATGTACTGCGTCTTACTAAGCTTTCCCACGTGTTAATGTTTCATTGACCTTGTTTTGATTTTTGTGATGTCGCATTGGGACGAATAGTTTGATAGGATTTGTTTGTTTTAAACGATTCAAGTGTTGTTCGGTGTTGTTTGGTGTGTGTGCGTATATGCGTGCGTGGTGTGCATGAGATGAATGCAGCGGTGTGCGTGGCCTCGGGGTCAGCGCCCCGGCCCAGGACTAATTTGGGGGAGATCGACGACTCGCGCCGTCGGCTTTGTCTGCGTCCGTCGCCTTCGTTGCACCGGCCCGCGCTCTTATAGCTTTGTTTATATTGTACTTGCGATTTCAAACTTCTACGTCTTTATTCGTTTGGTAAACAAGATCATAAAGCTCTTGAACGATAATATAAAAATCTACAAACGTTAGTAACGTTTCATTGGGTAGAACGGGTATTTCTTGGCACGAAGAATCAATCTTTAGTACGATTCAAGCTAATTTTATTAATATCAATAGGCAGAGTCAACTCTTATATCGAATCAAAATATTCTCATTACCATACAGATTGTCCTTGTCAGTATAATGAAAAATGTATTGGCTTATTTAACTAAGTACCTCAACTTTGATTAACATGTACATATTCATGTAATAACATTTTCCCAGAATCTAGATATTAAAATGACAAAGTTATAAATTGCACATGTAGCGTACCATTTTACGTAGGATCGGACACTGTCTCTGTTCCACATGTGTGCATTCTACTTGTATTACTCGTGCCGTTTCTATAAAACGTTAATCGAAATTTCACTGCAATTAATGACGTCAGCGCACGAAATCGCCATCGTGCTTTCAAAATTGGTGATTCACTTACTCCTATATGACTCATCAACTTTACTTTTTTATAGTTTTAATACAAGGAGCAGCACAATTAATGCGCAGTATAGCGACTATGTATAGCGGTGGTAGTGATATGAGGCCTGCTATCGAGGTGGCTCTGTGGGCATGTGTTTATCAGCTAGCGGCCAGCGGTTTGTTTGTATTGGTGAGTGCGTGCGTGTGAATAAATACAATGACGCGAATTGGTGGAGCGCCGCGGCCGCTCGCCTCACCTCGCTCAGTAGACTTCGGAACGTCGCGCGAGACGGAGCTCCACAGAGGCCGTCGTACGTTATTCAAAGTTCTCTCGCATCAGTAATTGCAACTAATACATCTTATCATTTAGATAACAGTGACTATTAGTGCTCCACTCCTTTGTCGATTAAATGTGCGCGAGTTAAACAACGAGTATAAGTTCCGACGTGGCCATGAGATCACGTTCTCGTCTGAAGGTAATGCTTTGTGGCAGAGTGTGCGTGTGTTTCTGTGCGTCTGCCTCGCGGGATGTTCGGAGGCTGTGCCTGCTAGACGAGGATGTCTGAAGGCCGTCGATCCGACCTTGGTGTCAGAAGGTCGTTGCCCTCACGTGTCACGAACTGCGGAGCGATTTGTATAGTTCGACTGTTTTTGTCACCCGAGATATGAATATAAAATTCCATATTTCGGTTTTTATCTTAAACTTAATACGAATCTATTTCATAATAATTTCTCTTAAATGTTTAAAACGCGTAATTAATAAAAACGATAAATGAGTCCTGATTTTTTGAAGTTGTTAGTAATCTAATAGGAAGGTAATAATTTATAAGTAATATTTAAATAGAGCTCATGTACCGCACTTCTTTCAAAGGAAATCCTCATCCAAAAATAACATTGTTAAAAGAACTATCTCGACCGCCACCATAGGAAAGATATAGTTAACAGAACTTATCCCCCAAGTATATACGATACCCATACGTACTAAAACATAAATTTTCCCTTTAAGACGTTTTTATACGATACATTCCTTTGTGTTATCGTTTGCATATTAATTTTGTTTAATTAATTATAGTATATTTTTCGTTTTATTGAACTCGGCGATCGATCGATCGATGGAAATAATAATTTTGTTTGTTTTATATGGAGTTTCCTCTTCATAGCGGTCGGTATCAAAATATCTTTGAAAGATATAAGTCAGTACAAATATCGCGACGGTATTTTGCAAAGGCGTTGATTGTTTCACTAGAATGTTTGAACGCGCCATTGTGTAAATCGTTTGCTCCGAAAGAGAGAGCGATATGCAAGCGCTTACAGCTGCGCGTGCGATCAGCTGACGTCGCGGCGGCCATCTTGCCGTGCGCGCTGCGCTGCACGCCGTCACCGCTGACGACGTCTTCCTCCTAATGCTAATGTCATTGTCCTTCCCTTAAACGACTCGCTTTGTTGATTGACCCTGTTGAATCATGATTGCCTTTCGGAACAAGCACTTCCACGTTGCGAAACTTCACGGAAGCATCGGATGTGAGACCCTGGCTCTGCTATTTTTGGTCTGTGACGTTTCCGCCGCAGACTTGTGTATGTGAATGTGTTGATGATATAGATACTACGCTGAATTGCGTTTGTTAGTTTTTTTATGTCGACGTCTTGAAATAGGGTAATTTTGTTGACCTCGATTTGCTGTTTGGGAATTTCCTCGTTTTTGTTTGATAACAATTTTAATGTTATGTTCACAAACTCTGTTGCTATATGTATTCTATTTTAATAATGATTCCACTTGTATCTACAAACTGGTGGTAGCAATCGATTTAAAAGCGCCTACAATACGTAGCGTCGGCCTCATGGTGACTTCCGGCAATTTAGTAGTTCACCATTTAAAGACTGAATGTCAAGTTTATTACTTGAAGTACCAATCAGAAATGTATTCAATTGTTACTACATTGTATAAGCTGGTTTATATAGGGAATACAGAATTGAACCTTGTGACGTTTTGCTGGATTTATTGGATGGAATTGCACGATTTTCGTGTTACCGTTACAATTACCGTTGGGTGGGCGGATCGCCGGACTTCGTATCTTGTCTCGGCGTTTTAAACTCAATCAATTGAACGCGTCATATCAAATTCGGACTAGTTGCCCGCCCTATATTCCTGACCTCAATATGGGACGTAGCGCTAAATTTATAAAGTTAGGTTTTATTTAACTTTTGTGTCGCTTGTTAAGGCGGAAGAATACATTTTTAATTAATTAAGTACCAAGAGTTAGGTTGCGAATAAATTGAACCTGTAAGAAATAGTTCAAATATTTT